AAGTTCATCAACTATAATGGCATGTAAAATGTCAAGAAATCATAGTGTGCAACTATATATACAACAACCAAGTTATATAGCACATGGAGTTCATTGAAATAAATATACCACAAGTATAAGATACATAATTCAAGAAATTACTAAGCAACACATGAGTAATTAAATCATTCCAAGACAAGGGTGCATGTTCATTAAGTACATTAATGAAACCTAGATACAAGAGGTTACGATGCTTGATAAAAGATAACAGTTCATGAAATTCAAGTCAAGTTCACTAGTGTAACAAGAATTCATATCAAGGCATGATTAACTCGATGGAAGCATATAAAGGAAATTTAATTTACTTAAGAGATTAAATTATCATGATTAAAAGGTAAGTTCAAGTATTCTACAATGAGACATGTCAAGGATTATGTGAAGAACAAGTCTAATATCGAGTTTCAAGTTCATTTCATTCAAAACACAACCATGTGAATTTAGTTCCATATAAAGGAAATAAATGAATATAAGTTTCAAAACTTATCCGGTTATTCTTAATTTGATACACGTAAAGGAACTTGTCACGAAAAACATGAATCCAAGTTAGAAACTTAATCAAGACCAATGAGCTATTAAATGGATTTTAATTATTTCATTTAATTAAAATCTCTAAGTTTTGAAATTCATCCAAATGATCTCAAATTTATATATGTTATACAACATGCCAAGACTTGATTTGAAAATACGACACAAGTGAATTCCATCCAAGAGAAGACCACGAGTATTAAACTTTAATACTAGAAAAATAAATAAATAAAAGGTTTCAAAACCTAATCAAATATTCTAGATTTAATATATGTGAAACCATATAACATGCATATCAAGAATGTCAAGTCGGAATTCCAATGGGGTGAATAGTACACCCGGAGCAAATTAATTAATCAAATTAATTAATAAATACTAGATTTAAATGTCTCCGATTACTCTCAAATACACCTATGTTGAAGAGTATATTAAAGCCTAACATAATATGCTAACACACGTTGATTTCAAACTAGTTAAGACCATGTTAATTAATCTTTCATTCAAGATAAATATTAAATAAAATCTTTATTACTTATTTAAATACTCTCAATTTAATATATATCAATGAGCATATTATGGAGTAATATAAAACCATGCTATATGTTCAAAACAAGTTATGAGCAACCGGGAAAATCAAATCCAATACAAGAAAATTAAATAATAAAATCTCTAGATTTCATATTTAAGCATGTAATCAAGTCGTATAAGCATCAATATTATGCTATATAACAAGAATTAAACCTAGAACATCCCCTACCTAGGTTTGAGATGAAAACCTCAAAGGCCCACCGAAAAAAAAGTGTTCCGAATTCGACGATACCGAAGGGTTTTGTCGGGGACTACACCGAGAACAAGAATCCACAAGAAGCCCCATGAAAATCTCAACTTGACTCCAAACCCGAATTCAAAAAATCGTCGGAAATAGATTCTAATAAAGGCATAAGATGCGCGGCGTCAAGATAAGCATTAAACGTTAAAACCGAAGACTTTTCATCAAAGAAAAGTGAACCAAAAGAGGAGAGAGGAGATGGAAACCATGGCTGCCATGGTTTCTGGCTAGAAGAGAGGAGAGAGAGAGAGAAAAATCTAACTTTTTCTCTTAAGGCCTCCTATTTATAGAAAATCTCAAAAAGTACCTCGAAAGGGCTCCGCCGGGTCTGAAAAAGTGGAATTTGAGCAGACGTGCTTAAACGAAAAAAATCCATGAACAAAAAATATTCATATTGAGAAAATATGGATAACAGAAGAAACGGCGTCAAAAACCGAATCCCGAGCAGAGAGATATGCGCCGAACAAGTTCGGCGACAACTAGGTCCAGAAACTCTGAAACTGGAGAAAAACGACCAGAACGGAATTCTATGAGTACACGACTCGACAAAATATGAAAATTAATCCCGTACAAGGATCCAGGCTCCAAACAAGATATTTTGCAATAACTTTCGTTAATTGCACAATGACCCCTGCAAAAAGGTTAATTGCAAAACTGCCCCAGAATGAAAATATCTTCCAAACGATATTTTCTTAGATACCCCTAAAATAAAATACCTCCAAAAGATATTTATGAAAAACACCCCAAGAAAAGAAAATAATTCCAAAGAATTGTGCATCCATGCCGCTATGGACACCAGGAGTAACCAGAGTACTTTCTTGCAAAAGTAAAGATACGTATTTTGTGGAAACCACTCAAGATCGAGATGTGTGAAGTCAAAAACTAAATTCGAATACGAAAAGTAAGGTTATGCCAAAAACTGACAAACGGGAATAAGATAAAATAGGGAAAAGGACGAAATAGTGCATAGTGTCCGAAAAGTGAAAAGTTGGAAATGACTCGGTCCGCAAAGGAAGTTGTCAATTCATGGAAAAGAGTCTCAAAAATCATTTACAAGCACTCAAGATGACACTAAGCGACAAGAAACTGAACTCAGAAAAGAAAAATTAAACGAAAAAGATTCATTCGTAAAATTTCAAGAAAAGAAAATGAAGGAAAATTTCCGGGTCATAACATTCGGTGGATGGATTCACGCCATTTTTTATTGTTTCTCCTCACTGTCATCGAGGTTTCACTGTGAGCAGCGTCTCTCACGTTTCATTGTGAGTTTGTGTTCCCGATCTCCTGATCTGTACCGTTTCCGAGGGTAGATGGTTGTTGGGTCAACAGAGTTAGGTTTGTTTGTCTGCTCCTTTTTGAAGCTTTTTGGTGTTTTGTGCTGGGAGTGGATCTGATGCATCTGCGTCCTTTGCTGACGTCCTGTGCTGGTGTGTTTGGTCCTCTCGCTAGTGGTTTTTTCAGTGGGCTCATCACTGACGTCATGGGATCTTTATCTAGCAACTTTTTTTTTTTTTTTGTTTTGTTGTGGTGGTTTTCCTTCTATAGCTGACATCTTTTCTTTGACTTGTCAAGACTGTTGATCTTGACTATAAGAGGTGTTAGTTAGTTTTGGGATGGTGTTTTCGGTGTTTTTGATCCTCTATCTCTAACCGATGTTCTTGATGTAGATGTCGTATAGCGTATGGCTTGTTTTCTTGCTAGGGTTAAAAAATAAAAAATAAAAAATAAAAATAAAAATAATTTTTTTTTGAATATGGACTAAATCAATAATTCACTCAAGAGGCTAGTTTCAAGAAATTCAATCGGATCTAAAGACGTTGCTAATTTATATTATGCTTAAAGAATCAATAATGTGAAAATTGAAATTATGGTGAAGGAGAGTATTGGTATAGTATTTGAACATATAGGAAATTAACTGATCAAACAACATCAGTTGATAGATTTTAAAAAAATTCTGTCCGTAGAGGTGCGAAAAGTGCATTCTAGTCAAATTTGGTCTCTCTTTTTCTTTTTTTCTTTGATAACCTAATGTCCAGAGTTTTACCCTGACTAATTCACAAAACTTGTAAAAGGCGTCCTCACATGAATTGAGTAAAATTCGAAATATATTCTCAAACATGACCCTTAAAAAATTATTTGCTTTTAGGAGGAATCTATATGAGACTTACAATGAGATGTATAGATTATTGTCCAAAATTATTTCAAGGGAATTATGGTCAAAATTTGCTTTATAGGGCTAGGTTACCCAAGGCCTTTGTAGTTTACATAGTTCCATGTAGCAAAGTCATCCGCCACAAAATAGGTTTTGTGGGATATTTTCTGTGATTGTCATGATTAAAAAATTATTCATTGTAATCGTTGTAATGGATGGTTACAAACACTTTAATAAAGGAGACTTATAATAGCACCAAATAATTGATATATGTGTTTTGGACCTTTGGTGGAGTAGTTGTAGCCGTTGTAGCACGTCATCATTGCACACTTCACCAAAATATATATGCAATGAATTAAAGTAAGTTGTACTTATAATAAAATAAAAAAATTCATATATATGTTTTAGGGAAGTGTTTATAACTGTTATAACGTCATTGTTGTAACGATTGCAATAAATAATTTTTGTCATGGTAGTGATCTCGAAGTCCAAAAAGCCAAAGCCTTACAAGTCCAGAGGGCACCCAATAACCAACTCACAATTACCCAGTTACATTAACGGCAAGCCAGCAATGAACAGAGTAATATGAGTAACACAGAGACATCAACCGATTGCGAATGCAATTTTCAATCAACTTCCATGTCACTTCCGAGGAGGAGCTCTTCCCAGTAAAGGTACGCTTTGTTCCTTTTTTATTTGTGTAACCTTTTATTAATATTATAATTTTTTTTTTTTTTTTGGAAGTTAATAATATTCTATGTTCTTCCTTTCTTCTTTTTTCAAATTGTATGTTCATTTTTAGTTTTAAGATTTTTGACAATTTTTATTCGGTTTTAGGTATATTTTGTTTTATTGTGATTTATATTAAATGTCTCAGGTAGTTATCTATTAAGAAACTATTAAAAATTGGAGGATTCACAAGATTGAATTTGAAAATAATAAAATTAAATTCATCAATAATATAAAATGATTCGATTTCAGGGCACTAAATCCATATAAGAGGATAAGTAGGGCACTACTTGTATAAGGCTTATGTGAACCGTTAAAAGAAGTTTTTTTTTGACCTTTTTTATCTTAAAAAAAAAAGAAAGTAAGTTACACTAACATTTTCTGAAGTTTGGACAATTTACACATGGTAGATCGTTTGGCTTTTATTACTTTGACCTCTTCTGAATTTTGGCACAAATGTTCAACAACACCACTGTTGTTAACAAAAATTTTCAAAATGATCATATTACCCTTCACTTGTATGAAAATACAATAATAGTCTTAGGTGTTCTAAAAGATAAACCAAAATACCCTTCACCCGATTCATAAGATTACAGTGTACACTAATATACGAAAAAATGTGATACCCTTCAATTTTCACGCATAAGTTGATCAGGCTTATACACAAAAATTTGGGGATGTAAAAAGCAATTGATAATAATCAAGCACATATTACAAAGGGATAATAATAAAAGAAATAAAAGTATAAATGAATTTTAATTAATAATTAAAAACCATCCATAATAATCCACAATCTTTAAAACTTCATTTTTAATACAACTCGGGAATCCTATAAAAACAGGGACCCCTAAAGCCAAAACAATGATTCGAAGTCTATAATCCAAAATCCATAAAGTCTAAATGATAAATAAAAAAGTTCTTATTCTGCAGTAACCGGGAAAGTGGATGATGAATGAAGTCTCTAAACTGCTGAGTCCTCAACCATGTGACTGAAACTGACGAGGACCTAAAATATCAACAAAAGTGGATAAAACCTACGAGCAAGTCCTCTTTATTACGACCCAATCAGAGAACCGATAAACTAGTCATTTCTAACCAAAACTGTCCCAATAATAAATAACCATACATAAAAGATAACAAGTGTACAGTGTATAGTGAACTCAACCATAGCTGGGAGGAACAAACTAGATACACACATAATGTATAGGCCATCTACCATGCTCAGGAATCAAATGCCTATACATGAAGCACATAGCTTTGCATCACATGCCCGAACATTAAATCACTTAGGAAAACATGCACGAAAAATAAACCACATACCTAGACAACTCAATCATATCTTTAGCAACATATCCAATGGGTAAAAGTATAACTGCGTTTATTAGTCAGCCCACCGTGGTTCCACTATAAACAATGCAAATTACGAAATGATAAGTTTCATTTAACAATGATAAAAAATAAAAATGATTAATATCATTTAACATTAAGAAAGAATAAATATGATTAATATCATTTATCATAATACACCATAAAATTTCAATATGAGTATTATCATTTAACATTAAGAAAAAAAAAATATGATTATGATTTATATCATTTATGACATACACCATGTATTTAATTCAACCATTCCCTTTCTTAATTTCGGCGTAGTACAATATCTTACGCGAACTACTCTAAGGTCGTGGTGATCTAGATAATACTAACCAAATTATTATTAATTTGTGTGATTATAAAGTTAAGAGAAAATGCTAGTGAACAGGATTTTATTATAAGTTCAAAAGAGTTCAAAAGTCAATTTTTGCAAGCTAAGATCAATCTCACATCCCTTAAGATCGATCTTAGATTACCCTAGAATCATTACAAAAATAAGTCAGGTTCAGTCCAAAAAAGATCGATCCCAAGCCCCCGGGGATCGATCCCAATAAAGTTACCTCGGATCAATCCCAAGCCTCCTAGGATTGATCCCAATAACGTTTACCTGATATCAATCCCAAGCCTCCTAGGATCGATCCCAATAACGTTTACCTGATATCAATCCCAAGCCTCCTGGGATCGATCCCACGCGCACCAGAAAACAAATTCGCGGGTCATAGGTTCTCGATCCAGTTTTATTAGTTAAAGTGAAAACTGATGAAAACAGAGACAATTTCTAAGGCCTACAGAAGTTAAATCATGTAATTACAATAAATCAAAGTACAAAACCTAATTTAAATAAGATTAAACATAAATTATAGATTTAATTTTTAGTTTAGAAAACTTCAATAACGTTTGCAAATCTAAATCACATTCATGAAAATAGTAAGTTAAATAATTAAATGATGATCATAAACACACTACTGGTTTTTAACAAGGTGAAAGGTTTATAAATTCAAAGGGAAAGAGAAGAATAGGGACTTGCCTTAGGATTTTGTAATAAAATGGAATCGCAAGCCTTGCCGGAGTCCTCTTCTCAACGGCGGCATTCATGGAGTTCGGTCCTTTGCCTTCTTTCTCTCTTGTCACCTATCCCTCTCTTTGTCACTTCTCTCTCTATCTCTCATTTACTCTCTTTATAGATATATGTATAACATGTATAATACGTATAATATATACAATAATATTATTACTCCCTAATTTATATACTAGAACTAAGAATATTACAAAAGGATTGGGCCTAAAATATAATAAACCGAACTTGAAATGATAGGCTAGTCCACATAACCCATAGTCCAATGATTAACCTATGGTCTAATTATACTAAATTCGGTTCAATGCGAAATAAATTAATAAACAATCAACAAGACAGAAAGGGTAAAATAAACTAACACCCCATCAGGTTTGCTAAAAAGACATTCAAATACAAGTTACGTTATTTTGGAATAATGACACCCTCTTATGAAATTTGCAAACCAAACAGAGCCCTTAAAACAAATGAAAAGTTAATTTTACCCTTCATTATTTTATTAATTTTAATTATAAAATATCAAATAATTAAAAGACCAAATTACCATTTTTATCTTTCTATATCTATATATATATATATATATATATATAACACCACACAAAGGCACCGCCATCGCCCATCTTCCCCTCCACCGCCGCTGCCCATCTTCCCCTCCACCGCTCACCCATCTAAATCAACTTCACCGAGGGCATCGAAGGACCTCAAATTATATACTCTGAGAATGAGAAGACCCTCAAATTCTGAGCTTTCTCTTCATACAATTCCGGAATGCCGCGCTGCGAAGATGCAGAACATGAAGACTTGCTCACCCTATCAGCTGCCGAAACATCGGATTTGCTCAGGTTGTTTAATTCCGGTGTTGATCTTTGTTCCCTACTTCTAGCTCTGTTCTTCAAGTAATAGAAACACTTCATTGAAGAGATCAGAAACAGAGTTGACAAAAAGAAGTATTAGCAATTATTTGTTGGTTTGAACATATAATGGAGAGAGAGATTTCTATCACAAATAAAAGAAAACCCAGGAGGGAGAGAGAGAGTTCTAGCACAAATAAAAGAAAATCCAGGAGAGAGGGAAAGAGAGAAAGAGAGATTTCTAACACAAATAAGATTAAATCAGAGATTAAGAAATTTCAAACAAAGAAAATGCAGGAGAGAGAAGAGAGAGATTTTTATCACAAATAAAAGAAAACGTACTCAGATGGAAAACAGAGAGATTTTAGTAGAAAACATCAAAATAAAGACCCAGGTGAAATTTTTGTTGAAGAGAACACAGAATGAACTGAAACAAAACCAAAACCCAAGGTGGTAAGAGGAGGAAAAGGTTAAAAACACAGACAGAGGTGTGTGTAAAGAGCTAGAATAGCATATCAAATGAGAATTGAAGAAGGGTAAAGACAAACCCAGATGGGATGAGATGAAAATTGGAGAGAGAGAGAGAGAGAGATTGGGTTATGAAGAAGGCGTGAATCCAAAAAAGAAGAGAAACAGAAATGAATGGTGTTATTTACGTCAAATCTTTTTTCCAGATTTTGTTCAACCGCTTAAGACTTTTGGCATACTTTCAATCTGGTTGTTTAGAAGGCCTCGCATTTAATTTCTCATCTCTGTCATAATTCGAGTCCTTGTGCTTGGTTTATTACATTGACTGTAGAAGGCCATGGCCGGAGAGTACGCACGCCGGCGGCGTATGCCACCAAAATTTTCCAATTGACCAGAGAGCTCGGCCACAAGTCCGACGGCGAGACTATCCGGTGGTTCCTCGAGCACTACCCCCACACAATACACATCCTCACAGCCTCTGCCATATCCCTCAACTTTCAGACCTTCAACGCCACCGCCACACTAACAATTTCTTCACGGGTGATCAAGCTCCGACCTTTCATTGGTACTGTCCTTATCAGTGGTGTAAAGAAAACCATTTGGGTATCTTCTCTATCTTAATTTAAGATTTAAATGTATATTATATGTGTGTGTATATGTATGTATATATATATATATTGGGTTTTACCAACTGTTTTCATGGGTTTTCAATTTGGTTCTCCATAAATTTGAGATCAGTCGATTTGGTTTAGGATGGATTTTCAATTTCTATTTTACTGTTTCCAAATCCATTGATTGGTTATATATACATATATATTGTGTATAATATATACGTATATTATTTGGGCACATATATCCTCTGTAAATGTAAGTTATGTTTTGGATGATGGTGATGGTGATGGTGGTGGTGGTGGCGGTGGTATATGGTTTTTGGGATTCAACCTGGGTTTGTCTTCGCAGGACTCAACCTTGCCCACTGCAGTCAAACCCATTTTCTTCATTTTTGATTTCACATTTTGGCCAAAGCAAGTCACAACATCAGCAAGCTATATATTTACACCAACATCATCCACTGTGCAAGTGCTAATGAACTGAGAATGATGATGAGGCGGCGGCAGATGGGTGTGATGAAGATGCAGTATATATATATATACACACACACATACACATACAGAGAGAAAAGGGGAGAGGGTTCTTTACACATACGGGTTTGGGTTTGGGTTTGGGTTTGGGTTTGGGTTTAATCCAAGGGTATTTAAGTCCAATTGAATGTCAATTTTATATCGAAGGGTAGTAAGGTCAATTCACTATCTTTAGGGTCTTTTTGTCTATTTTTCAAACTTGAAGGAGTGTCATTGTCCAAAAATAGGCTAACTTTCATCTGAGTGTCATATCCTCAAATCTCAGGAGTGTCTGTGTACTTTACCCAAACATAAAATAATAACACACTAATTTCACATAAACAATTAATCAAACATTAAATAATAAATAATTAAATACACATATATCATTAATTTAAAACAATTAATTTAAATAAAAACCAATTAATAAATCCTGTAAAATCACTTGGTATTACATTCGTCCCCTTTAACAAATGAATTCCGTCCCTAAAATTCATCACATACCTGATAAGAAAAGCTCTGGATACTTGGCATGGATTTCATCTTCCTATTCCCAAGTGGACTCGGCCTTATTATGATGGCTCCACTAACACACATAAGGGGAATAGTCTTCGAGTGTAGTGATGTGATTCAAAAAATGTTCAATTAGAAAATATCACTCGCAATAGAACGAATCCTTTGTAAGATATGGCTACTTAAAGGGTGTCAAACCTTAGGGATTATGGTGGTTTATCAAGCCTTCATTTAATACTATTTTAACTTAGAGAGAAAGATTGTTTGATATGTTATGTTTCAAAAACATAAACAAATCTAAACTAAAATTCATGAGGAAGAAAGAGTTAAGAATTTAGGTGAAGAAGGTGAAGAGGTTGAAGAGAGTGTTGATAAGGAATTAGAGTTCACCATTGATGAACCTATAGGAATTCCTGCACCTTCTTTAGATATTCCCACATCTAGTAGTTCTAGGGCTCGATCGAGTCATCCAGTTGACAATGTGATAGGTTAATAGGATAAACTGAGTACTAAGAGTACAATTCGTAATTAATTAGGACACTCGTGCATTGTAGATGATATAGAACACTCATGTCACATGGCTCAGTTTGAACCAAAGAATGTTAATGAAGCTCTTCAAAGTTCTGATTGGCTTATGGCTATGCAAAAAGAATTGTTTTAATTCGTGAAAAATGATGTTTGGGAATTAGTGCCCCGACCTAATGATGTTAATATCATAGGGACTAAATGGATCTTTAAAAATAAACTTGATAAGCATGGTCTTGTGGTGATAAATAAAGTTAGGCTAGTTGCACAAGGATATACTCAAGTTGAGGGAATTGATTTTGATGAAACTTTTGCACCTATTGCTAGACTTGAGTCTATTCGACTTCTTTTTGCTCTTACATGTCACTTTAAATTCAAATTGTTTTAAATGGACATAAAAAGTGATTTTCTAAATGGTATTTTGTAGGAAGAAGTTTATGCAGCACAACCAAAAGGTTTTATTGATCCACATAATCCTGA